TCGCAGAATATCGCAATATATTTAAAATCGCAATAATATTGTATCGTGACACAAGTACCGTGATAATATCGTATCGTGAGGCCTCTGGTGATTCCCACCCCTAATAGACAGGTTCTTTGATTAATATTCAAACCTTAAGGTCTCTAACAAGGGCCTCCAGTTCTTCTCGCTCTCGTTGATATAATCTCAGCATGTCATGTACATCCCTGTCCTGTTGGGCTTTTCCTTCTTGCTGGGTCATTCGGAGGTGGCTTAGCTCCTTCTGATGCACCTGCCTCTCCAGTTCCAGCTGTCGTCCAAAAGAGGAGCTCTCTTCCTGAGCCATAGCAAGCTGTTTTTCTAGATCCTTCTTGGAGCTCTCCACCTCAGCCAGTCTGGCAGCTAGGTCAGCTCTCGCAGCGCTCAGGTTCTTGACTGAGCCCTGGAGATCCAACAGAGATCTCTGCTCCTCCTCTTTACTATGCTCCTGAAGTTCCACACGCTTCTGCAGCCTGACGTTCTCCTCTCTCATTTGCACCTGTAAGGAGATCTGCTTCTGTGCCTTCTCTTCCAGGCCTCTCAAGGTTTCCCGAGCCTCTTGGAGCTCTAGTTCTAAAGTGACAAGCTGTGAACGAGTTTCAGTAAGATCCACATTACAGCGACGTACATCCTCTTCACGATGGGCAAGACGTCCAAGAGCATCAGCCAGCTGTTGGCGTGCACCCTCTAGCTGCTGACTAAGAATGCCTTCTCTCTCTTTGCTCTGAAGTACAGAACAGATTAAATACACATAAAAAAGTAAGATATAATGCCAAATAAAATCATGTAAAAAATCTTTAACAAATGCAGATTTACAGATCTACTTGTACACTTTTAATAATTGTTTTTGACAATTATTTGGGTTATTGCGTAGAGGTAGGGCTGTGCAAAAAATCGAATGCGATTTTCATGCGCATCTCGTCAGTAAAGGCGCTCCTGTGATTAGTAGTAAATCTCCAGCACGTGCTTTCAGATGGAGCGGCATTTACTACACAGAGCCGTAGTTCACTGACAAGCAATGAATCGTCTGCGATTATGAACGCGATTTTGTGTAGCTTGTCAGTGAACTACAGCTCTGTGTAGTAAATGCCGCTCCATCTGAAAGCACGTGCTGGAGATTTACTACTAATCACAGAAGCGGCTTTACTGACGAGATGCGCATGAAAATCGCATTCGATTTTTTGCACAGCCCTAATCCTCAATTTTCTAATTATGTGCAGCTAGGACGTGGCGTCCGTCAAAAATAGAATAAGCACCTATCTTTAGCGAAGCAGCACAGAGAGCCGCTACTGAAACGTGCTCCGTAGGCCATGTCTGAGCCATAATGCGCCGCAGACGTGTGCAGTGATGTGCAGATCAGCTCTAACGTCACTGAATCTGCTGTTAAAAATGAACCATCCATTCATCATATAATCTTGCAAAACTCATTAGAATAATTGTAATGTGACGATCGGGTGCAGGTCGGGGCGGATATCTATATCAGAGAAAAATATAGGAGCGGTTGGGTGGTGGGTGGATATTTTTTTTGAAGCAGCGGATTCGGGTGACGTTTGAGCTGATCCGCACTTCTCCAATACACACATACACTGTTGGGTGATTGTAACATTCTCTCTTTTTTTGTCATAATTTCTATTTTGGTTTGTAGCACCCACCTTCTCTCAGCACCACCCTCTCATAGGCAGGGAAGCGGGTGGAAACGGCCGCAGAACTTTCCTCTCGGCTCTTCCGCACATCTTTCTTCTTGGCCGCCCTCTGACCACGTAGCCTCCAGAAGTCTGCCCTGTCACTTCCTGAGCCCTTATGTGTGTTCTGGACGTTTGCCATCTGCTCCGCTCTGATCAGTACAAGAGCAGGGGTTATGCAGCAGGGTTATGCAAAGAAAGCGATAAATCATTACAGAGCAGCATCTGCTTTCTGGTTATGTCCAGTATAAATACAAATTCATATTCCATTTGATGTTTGATATTTCCAAGTTAAAGGCTTAAACACCATTTAGCTTGGACATATCTTTTAATCTCATGCAAAGACTGTCCGCCCTTCTCCATTCTCACCTGCTCTTGCTGGGAATGATGCCCTTCTCCAGCAGCTGGTTGTCTTTGCCCAAGCGGATGGCCAGCCAGTTTCCCAGCTTGCCGTCATATAAGGTGTCCACCACCTTGAAGATCTCTCCCCGGGAGAAGGCGAGACAGTGAGGCAGCTCCTTCTCATACTCAAAATGAGTCCGGATGAAAAATGAGTCCCCTCGACCGGACACCAAGATGTCTTCATAAACTAGGACACAAAACAGAAACATAAACTCCCAAACATGTCTCAGACTTAAAGGGGTCCTATTATGCTCTTTTACAAAGTCTTGATTTTGTTTTGGGGGTGTACTAGAACAGGCTCTCATTCTTTTCACATATTTTACATTATTACAACACCTCTCTCCCCAGTCTGGCATGAACGGCTCGAATAGTTCCTGTATCAAATGAAAGCCCGCCTTCTGAAATACAAAATGTGTTGTGATTGGTTAGCTGGGCCAGTGTGTGTTGTGATTGGCTCCAATCGGGGCCTGGTTGGGAAATGTCATGCCCCTTACCATAGCCGCCTGCTGCGAGCTTCAGTGTAAATACTGCGTCAAAATCAAATCAATTTGAGCACGATTTAAACCCGGATGATTGTAACCACTCTAAGTTCGTCTGCCTTATTGTAGTGATAATAACACTCGTTGCCTTCTCTAGTGCAGCTCAACCAGGTCTCGTCCCATTCGTCGATATTTGTGATATCACAAATTCCGGAAACTATGCATTGTAGTCCAAACGAGTCATTCGTTGTAGTTTTTGAAAAGTGATTTCTGTTAAATAAAGTATCTCCTTTTGAAGGGGACTTTGAACTTTGTAACTTTGCAGATCTTTTTTATGCTCAAACAGCAACATTACAGACTAACTAAAGTTGAAAAAGTGAAAAAGCATAATAGGATCCCTTTAACTAGTAGAGCATGATGCAAGCAATGCCAATGTTTTAGGGTCAACTGAAAATGCATTTCAATTCTCTGTGCAATATACATCAGAAGGATGAGACTGAGACTATGTGAAACAAGACTAAAATTAATAGTGCTATCATTTAAAAAATAAATAAATAGATCAAAAAAATAAATAATGCTTTAAACAAAACAATAAAAAATAAATAAATGAAGAAAAAAAGAAAAATATACAATCATAGAAAAAGAAATAATAGATAAATAAATAAATGAAATAAATATAAAATGCAAAAAAATAAAACGCATCATTACAATAAAAAATCTAATGATGATGTAAATAAAAAAATAATTAAAAAACTAAATGAAAATAAACAGACAAAATTAAAAATAAGTAGACAAAATTAAAAAAAGATAAAAAATAAATATATTAATTATAATAAAATTCAAAAGGTTCTGTAAAAAAAATAAAATACATAGATAAAAATAAAATACAAAAAATAGATAAACATAACTAAATAGTTAAACATAAATAAATAAATATACCAATAAATAAAATACATAATTACAATAAAATCTTGCTGTAAATATAAAATAATAAATAATAACAAATAAATATATACATTATAATAAAAATCAAAAAGGTCTGTAAAAAATACATAAATATATATATAACAAAAATCAAATATAAATACATAGATAAACATAAAAAATAAATACATAATAAATAAATTAATTTTTTTAAATATTTATATAATATTTATTCTATGCTGTAAGTGATTTTCAATCTTTCACCTTCTCCAAACCAATGCTGATAATGCTGTCAATGAACTCTGCTGTCCTTTGTCAATTTTAAATTGGTGACATTTAATTAAATTCTCCACTCCAATTCAATAATTTATCATAATATGATGTAAGATTTCCATGGTTGATGTAATTTTATCATTTGTGAAGTGTTGAAACTGTCAATTAATAGACAACTTTAGTGTTATCTGACTAGGATTTACAGTGTCAAGGATAAAAGTTTCAGCGGCCAGATTTTCTATAGTAGTGCCGTCACCCTCTTGATTAAAGCTCTGCCACCACATCTGTCTCAGCTCAGAACAAAAGAGCTTCAACCCCTGACAGCGCCAGACCTCGCTTTCCCATGAGACACCCACACAGAGAGGAGAAGGACTAAGAGGAATAGAGATGGAGCCAGGGAGAGAGAGCGATAGAAGGATGGCATGACAGCAGAAAAAGAGGGATAGAGCAGAGAGAGCCGTGTCAGTGCTGACAACAGAGGTCAGTGCTGACATCCTGCAGTCTTGTGATGAGGTTAGGAACTTGTTTTTGGTTGGACTCCAAATCCAAAAGACTTCGACAGGAGTTATTGAACCAATAAACATCAGCATGGGGTTTTCATGGGAGACATTTAGTTCCTTACATAACAGACAAGAGAAAACAAAGCTCACAAACATGAAAATCTGGATTTAGGTATGTTTGTGCACATGCATGACCACACTTAACACGGCAATCCCTGGAAGAGCCAAAACTGGCTACAACTGGTTTTGTAGTGATGAGCAAGAAGCCGAGGCCTCTCGACAGGGTCTGTGTGTATAGGGGGAGGGGAAGAGCGAAAGAGACAGCGCTTCCGGGCCCATTCACACATACAGTGATGTAATATAGGTAACTAGTTCTACTGCTGGATGCTCTAATGTAGGGGTTTTCAAACTTTTTGATGCCAAAGACCCCCAAATATGACGATCCTCTTGCAAAGGACCCCCTTCTTAAAATAACAGTAGCTATATACTTTAAGACCCATTTATACTGCGTGAGAAAACATAGTGAGATATTATGACAACATGTTGTATAAGAATAAAATAATTGGTATTTACATTGTCATTTTACTAAAGCAAAAAAAAAAAGTATTATTATTATTATAATTATTTAGAAAAATGTGGAAAATATTATTATTAATAATTCAATTTATTACTATTATTATTATTATTATTAAAAAGGTGCTTAAATAAAAAATAAATAAAAATAGATAATAAATAAAAATTATACGTAATTATAATAAAAGCAAAAGGTATTGCAAACAAATAAAAATACATTGAAAAAATAACAATAAGATACATGATAATAAATAAATTAATTAATATGTAATTATAATAAAAATAAAATGTGTTGTCAATAAAAAATAAATAGATAAAAAAATAAAAAAATAAATACTAAATAAATAATACGTAATTATAATAATAAACAAAAGGTGTTGTAAAAAATAACAAAGATATAATATAATAAATAAATGTAATTATACAAAAATTAAAGGTAAAATAAAACATACATATAAAAATAAATGAATTGATATAAAAAATGTATAAATAAATAATGGTACACAGGCATAGAATTATACAAGCATGCCAAGTGACGACCGGGTACAAAAAAAGGGGGTGTTTCGGTGTTTGTGTGTTCCCTGAAGTGAAGCGAGGAGCAGTTTTGTGTGCTTAATGCTCTCACCTTCAGTTTTATTCTGTGCCATAATGGTCACGACCTCACCCCGCGGGATCTCCAGCAGGAACAGCACGGCCTCCTCTCGCACAATACCCCGAAAGTCAACGTTATTCACCTTTAGGGAGAGACAGAAAACACACACACACACATACAGTTGAAAAGGAAATGTGGCAAATGCAAATCAAATTCAAAGCATGTTCTCTCCTCCTAAAGGGATCATAACATGAAAAACCGCACTAGTATGTTGACGTAATGTTAATTTAAAGCTCCCTCCCTCCCCAGTCCACCCAGGCTATTTCTGAAAACTATGATGACAACATAATAAGCATAATAAGGTTATATAATCATAAGAGTGGTCATTTACATACAGAAGATTCAAAGATAAAGTAACACATACAGCTTGTTTACTATAACGTCAAAAACAAGATGACCCAAAATGATCAGACCAGCTTAAGTCAACAGAACTGTTGTTTGCATACCTTCATGATCTGATCCCCTACACGAAGACCCTCTTCTTCAGCCGGACTGCCCTCCTGAACTCCAGCTATGAATATTCCCACATCATTTCCTCCAGCCAACCTCAGGCCAACACTCTCTCCTTTCTGAAAGCTCACCATCACTGTGTTAGGCCTTCAAAAGAGAGCGAGAGTTGGAGATTTGCTAAAATCTTAACTGTAAAACTGTCCTGTGGCATCACTTCAGAAAGCCTGACAAAAACACACCAATCCTAAAAAGGGCATTATGCAAAAATGGACCAGAGCTTTTTAAAATATACCATTGCATAATGTGTGCATATAAATATAGAATCAATTTGAAATGGAATATTGAATTTAAATAAATTGATTAAAATAGGATAATTTATCTGTCTGTGAATTCTGATTATTGAATTTCTAGGAATTATAGCAAAGTCATAATGTTTCCATCAGGCTCAAAATATTAATTTTTATTAGCTTGAGATGGTATTTTGAATAAGATTTTATTTTCAAGTTTCAAATTAGTTTAAGTTAAAGTTTTAGTAATTTTGTTGTGTGCTTCTGTCCTTTTTCATTTATTTATTTATTTTTTTAAATGTCTATCTTTCATTCATTAGTTTTAGTTTATTTAGTTATTTTAGTACTTAAAGGGATAGTTCACCTTCAGTTGCTGGTCCCCATTGACTTGCATAATGTTTTTTTTCTCATACCATGGAAGTCAATGAGGACCAGCAACTGAAGGTGAACTGTCCCTTTAAGTTAAACTAAATGAAAATAAGAAATGTTGCCTTGGCAATATATATATATATATATATATATATATATAATTAGCAAATAAATAATGGTACACAGGCATATAATTAATTATTAATTCTAATTATTAACAATTAAAGTCATACTTTAATGCATAATAATTTTGTCTAATAAAAAGTTTAAAATCAGAAAATGTACTTTTCCAAAATGCAATAGGAACCAACTTAAAAGAATGACTCCCACATAATATATTTGGAGAAAAACATACTGAGGCTTAAAAATTTTTTTTTTTTTCTGTCGCATTTCTATTTATCCTTTCCAAACACACCAAAAGCCAAATGCACCGTCATGGCTTGTGATTTTCCAGCAGGGTTTCCCCTGCTCTCCACCTCTCTCATTCTGTGCTCAAGTAAAAACCCACTGGAGCTCTGGTCTTAAAGCATAGCGGCTCTGTAAGCAAGAGCAGGACACAAAAATAACCCCTCCCAGTGGATACGAGCAGCAGCAGACTGCCTCTTCTTCATGAATATGGAGGAGCTGATGGAGAGGATGATTAAGAGAGAGAGAGAGAGAGATTGCAGAGGTATCCAGCCCGTCGTGAAGCTGTGATGCAGATGACACTCCACCTCTCTTCCTCCATCTCGATTTCATTTCCTGTGCGCTCAACCACTAGTGCGATAGTTTAAACAGATAGTTCACCACCAAATTCAAATTCTGTCATTATTTACTTATCCTCATGTTGTTTTGTTTGGAAAAGATCAATCACTGAAACATGAGGGTGAGCAAATTTTTTTTTGTGAACTATTAACCAAAGTGTGTGTGTGTGTGTGTGAGAGAGAGAGAGAGAGTGAGTGAGATGAATGTGTAGGGATTGAACTTCAGCCCTGTCTCCAGCCTTCAGTGAGTCCTCAGGTTTAGTTATTGAATAAGATCTTAGTTCAGTGAATAGGATCATGTGTGAGGAGAGCTGAACCTGTGGGATATTAACAGGATCCACTCACCCGTAAATGGCCTCATCTTCTGGGCTCGGTCTGAGCAGGATCTTGGGTGTCGTCTTTATTGCTGCTGCACATTGAATAAAATAATGGTCTAATATCAGTTTCATTCTGAAACAACTGAAAGCAGACACATTTTCTTTTAATCACACCTGTCAATGTCTAGTCAACAAAGAAATATACTGATCAAATGTCCATCCATCCATCCATCCATCCATCCATATGTTCCACTGAGGTAAAAGTGGTTTTGTTTTTGGTGATTTTGAATCACAGCTTCTGGTCAACTTCTTTTCTGATTTAATTAGTCAGCAAAGCCAATTTGAGCTCATTTGGTGCTTGACAACCATTGCCAATCCTCTGCTTCATCAATAAACCAAAAGTGTGGGTCTTTATCAAACTACGAGGTATATGCAGAATCATGTTCTTACGTGGTGGTGGTTCTTCCTGTGGTTCTACTCTCTCCTCCTGGGCTGGAAGTGGCTCCTCTGGAGTTTTGTAAGGAGAGGAAGTTACAGCAGTCTTTGCCAATCTGCTTTGAGGATCTTCCCTGAAAATACAACAACAGTTTAGACTGAGAATCCACATTAACATTCCCACTAACATTTGACAAGCAACTTTTGAATGTCTTGAGCTATTTATAAAATATTCTGACTGAATGATGTGTTCGTGCTGTTTTCTTTAAGTACCACTTAGTTTGATGTTTTGATATTTAATGCAAAGATATTCATATAGATCACTGGTTTCCAAACACTGGACCACACTGACTTTCATTGCATGGACAAAACACACTTTTTTTTATTTTATTTTTTTAAAATCTTTGTGTAGACAATTTCCATTGTTGGTAAACTATCCATTTAAATGTCCAAAGACTTTTTGAACCATTGAATTATGCATCCCTAATATGTGTTGAACATATGAGGAGCTGATGTTGAAGCGGTCCTCACCTGGCGTTTTCTCGTGCTATGTCATTGGAAGAGTGTGAGGAGAGGTCAGACTGGCGTGACCTTTGGTCATCTTGAGGTGAGTAGGAATGGTATGACTCCATCTCAGAAATATCTGAAAGAAACAAAAGTCTACAATGAGAAGCAATGGACTTTCCTTCAACTTCTAGGACAGGAAAGAGACGAGGCCCAGAAGAGACAGAATTAAATGGACCCACAACCACAGAGAACACACCACCGTGTTACTGATGACTTGGTGTTAATTTGCCAAGATCTGCCCCGTTATAACAATCACTTCTGCTTATATATACTGTGGTTTTGACCACAGCATATCCATGCCGTTTTGACCAAACACACGACCCAAATCGTGCTGATTTACAATGCCTACGTGACTCAAATGCCCAGAATTTCATGAAGCTGTCGTGGAGAGACTAAAAGCAGCGTTATACAGAGGCAGAAGGTGTGTCGGACAGGTGTGATTAATCTTTAGGAACAAAACACCCTGAGAGCGGCAGAGAAAAAAGGACAGACAGGAAGTGACATCTATAGAAACTGTCTTGGAAAGCAGAGATGTGTGCAAAAGCAGCTAGTGCTTGCATACATTGACACAATATTGATAGTTAAAGGAATAATTCACCAAAAAAATTTGGTCACCATTACCCACCCTTATGTCATTCCAAACCCGACTTTTTCTTCTGTGAAACATAAAATTTGAAGAATTTGAAGAAGCCTTTACCAATACATTTTTGAGCAGTTAAGCCAGGAATCGCTAGATTCACTGAGTCAGTAAAACAACTGAGGATGTGATCAGTACGATTCATGAAGAAATCATGCAGTCTGACTTCTAGATTATTTTTGACCTGTTCATCTTGAAATAATCGGCTCAAAAGAATGACTTACTTATGAATCAGACATTCTCAAGTTCAACTCAGTGAATCAATCATTCAATTGCAGCATTTCTCGAGTTAACAGCTCATATATTCACTACTTTTGTGTAATTTTCAGACCATAGTCAGTTTTCCTGCATGAACATTCTTCTAAATATTAAAATTGTTTGCAACACAAAAGAAACGTAGTATCACAGGTTTTGTAACAACATGAGGGTGAACTATTCCTTTAATTTCTCATTCTAGAGCTGTACTTTGTCCAGGATAGTTGAGAAATAATCGATTACAAGTAAAACCAACAAGGAGCACAGCAAGGAAAATGAAGTATCGCCCTGAAAGAGAAAGCAAGACAGAAGAAGTGACGGCTGGGAAGGAAGAAAAGAGTTACTGTGGGGTCTGCTGGTGATCTAAGTGCATGTCCAGTGCATTAACAGAACTCCTCTGCTCTTCTGAGCGCCGCTGGTGGGCGGTACGCCACGACTGTCCTCCAAATCTACAACACACTCCATCCATAACAGAGCAAAAGGACACTGCCGCCCACCTGCTTCAGAGCTCAGGGGTTTAATGCTCAGAGCTAACGGAGACAAATATGCTAACAGCACTGTCTGGAGATAAAGATACAGTATAATGCATGAAATTGGTAACATTTTTGATTCAGGGCAGAAATCTGTAAATGAAAATCTGGGATTCCAAATCCAATATATATATATATCTCAATATATATAGGCCTGTCACGATAACAACTTTTTGTTGTGCGATATATTGCCCCAGAAATAATTGCGAGAAGCGATATTATTGTAATTTTAAAGGGGTCATATGATGCGATTTCAAGTGGAATGTACAAAACATGGTGACATTAATTTTTGAGTAAATATAATGGCGCGATATATTGCGTCACCAAAAATTATTGAGGTCATGTACATATATTGCACGATAAGTCGATATATTGATTATTGCGACAGGCCTAAATATATAAATATATATATCTCAATATATATTCTGCACTATTTATAATACAATAAAAAAAAAATGTATTAAATATGAAAAATGCAAAACAGAAAATTCTATCTTCTGTTTTCATGCACAAAATTTCCTTTGTTCCAGATTAAATTCCATCTAACTGCAGATTCTAAATGTAGTTTATATGTACCCTAAAATCTGCAATATGATGAAAAAATCTGTTTACATGTGTTAAAGATATATTCTGAACTAAATTTCTGAGAATGCCGTGCAAGAGCGGCATTAAGTGTCATGTTATCATAAAAGCGAGAAGCTTGTGAGTCCTGAAAAGAAGACAGTCAGCATCACCTCTGAATGTTTGCTTTTATAACTTATCTAAAATGATCTCAAGAAAGATTTCTTCTCATGTTGCTAAATTAATTTAAAAGGAAAATCAGAAGCAGCATCCCAATATATTAATAATTTATTTGGATAAGCCGAAATGTAATCATTTTTTTTTTACTGTTTGCTTGAAGGCTTTTCATTTTGATTAGGCTATTGGTCAGATCATTTATGGATTATTAGGCTGCACGTAAAAGTAGTTTCTGAGGAGTATCAGGGAGGAGCAGGGAGTTGGTGTTTTTCAGGCTGTGGGGGTGAAAGGTGTGTTTCCATCTGTTGGGTGGGGATGAAATTACAGTCTGCCTCTTAAGAGGGGGAGGACAAACCACAGAGACACAGAGACAGCTGTGTGTACATTCCCTGAATACAACCCAAAACAGCACGGCCAGCACCTCTGCTTCAGCTACAACCACCATCACTGATTTAGTTCTCAGCGCTACTGTGACAACACACACACACACACACGCACACACACACGCGTACACGCACACGCACACATACATACCATATAACCGAGAGACTGACAAAGAGTATGACACACACACACACACAGAAAAGGTTAGGGAGTAGGGCTGGGTGATATTACTTGGGAAAAAAAATTATCATCTGATATCTCAATATTTATGTATTTGCTTTAAATGTCACATTTTCCCCCCAGAGGGACTACATTAAAAAATGAATAAATAAATTAAAATAAAGAAGTAAAAAAAAAATCTATCAAAGGAGTTTCATTAAAAAAAAATATATATATATATATATATAAAACTATTAAATATTATACAATAAATACAACATTAAACTTAACAAATATATAAATATTAAGGCATTGGTATTTATATATATTACTAAATATGAAGGAAATAATACATTTTTT